CGGCTGCACAGTGAGACACTGGACTGATATGTAATTTGTTCTTAACCACCCTAATGTAAAATAACTCGACCAACCAGATGAACACAGGGCAAAAGTACAATATATTTGGAGGAAATGAAGATATTAAGTGTAATACATTTATATATGGTGATGACAAGAGCACAAGCAAAGTATGGTTTGAAGTGTGTCATTGTCGCATTTCCTCAACAATTTCTAGGATTAAGTTCACTTCTACTTGACTTAACTGATACCACTGAGCTGCTGTCCACAGTATTTATCAGAACAAACATGTACAAGACAAATGGTTCTGCTTGGGGGTGTTATGACAAAACTGAATAAAACCATTTGTTTTTCTGTGTGTTAAGCATTTCTATTTTCAGAATATACTCTCAGTTGGCAGTTTAGCTAAAAACAATGCAGTCTCATACAACAGTCCTACAATAAATCTTCCTTCATGAAGGTGATAATGATGAAGCTGTTTTAGAGAGGTGGCAATTCAACTGATTTAACATCTTGTGGTGTTGTTAAAATGTTACATTATACTAAGATATGTTTCTATTATTTTTCCACCCTATTTATACTACTTAGCTTAGGCCAAATAACAGAAATACTTCCTTTACAACAGCAGTTAAGCAGCACCACCAGCTACATCCTCCAAGATGATCACAGAATTGAATCAAGGCTTCTCTAAAACAGTTTCAACATTGTCATCTTCATGAAGAAGGATTATGCAGGACTGTAGTCTGCATTAGTTTTAATTAGGTGTTCATAGTAAACAAGATTTTCTGAAATTTTTCACAGGACTCAGAAATTTGAATTCACCACTGTATGTTGTCAGTAATATTTTATTTGCATTTCAAAAAACATGTTACCACAATGGAAACACACAGAGAAGAAGAGAAACAAACTATGGCACCAGAGCACCATCACCAGTGTGTATGCAGCATTACACCACAATGCCACTGTGTCTTTGTGTCCACGCTGGTGTCTGCTGACTGAGTTCACGACGCAGTAGCTGGTTGAAGGGGACCAAACCTCACAGAAACACCTGACTTGGTTCCGTTTGACCAGCCACAGCAAGGCGTGTTGCTTCAGCTGGAAGAGGCAGAGCAAGAGGGTGCGAAAGAGCAGGAGGAGGCACGCAGTGAAGAGGGGAAGAGGGAAGGTTACAGGGGTAGACGATGTAGAAAAAGCAGGAAATGAGAGAGGAGCAAGAGAGGAAATAAAAGGTGGACTTCATCTGCAAGCAGTCAGGCCTGTCACGCCCTCTTCAGTCTTACCTGATAAAACACAAAGGGAGAAAGAATATCCTTATTATTATATTATCTTTACAGAAACAAGTGTCTACATGTGACCATGCAGAAAGTTCCCATTTAGAGGATTGGGAATCCTGACAGCTAGTGACATTGCCCTATTTCCTTTCAAATCCAGGCTACAGGAGCACACTTTCACCCCTAGTGACAGCTCCCTCCCTCCCCTTTTTCTTTTTTGAGAGTCTTGTGGTTGCTATAATGGGTGACAGCTGTGGTCTGTCAATCCTCCTTGACTGTCAGCAGTTGGGGCAGGGCAGGAATTTTTCAAGAAGTCCCTGAGACCCGATCAGTGGCCTTCGGAGTAACGTTAACTGTACACATACCCAAGCAGGAGGAGAGAGAACAGGCCTTTCACCTGTTTCCTTGTCACATACACACACACTTATGAATCACAATATCCTCCTACCAACTCATAAAACAGACAAAGGCACACTCAAAAAATGAGTGTAGCTCCACCTTTCAGAAGGGTCATTCAAGTTTAAAAATAAACAATAGTGGAATTTTTTTTTTCTCCTTCCCCATGTGGTTGGTGCTCATATCCCCTTGAAACCACACACTTCCTTACATTCCATAAGTGGTGTATTAATATGGGGATATAAGGAAGCATGTCCTCACAAGGGGCAACAACTGGATTCGCTGCTCCTTGGACACAAGGCACCCTTTCATAGTCGCAGATGCGGAGTAGCGGCAGCAACCAGCTTAACAATGGTTAACTGTGACAGAAAGAGGGAAGTGGGATGGGGCTAAAGAAACACATGATGGCGGCTTCAATCATCTGGGCCACTTATTCACAAGACATTTAGACATTTTTATCTTGTAGGAGGAAGGTTTCATTTTTGCTCAAAGTGTGGATTATTTGAGGTTAATTTTCTTATTACTATCTTCTAATTAAAGCAAAAAAATTGTACTTTTCAGTATTACAACAAAAATATTAACATAGTCGCTGACAATATGCATTAAAAATTGAAGATTAACGCTGCCAAATACCAGCTGCCAATGGAAAGATGCTGCTAGGTGTTGAAATAACTCTGGAGGGTGAGGCAAATACTGACTTCCAGCAGACAAAGGTCACAGTCTGTTATTTCCTAAACACCATGCTGTGCCAAGTCATGTTGATCCCAACAACTGTGTGAAAATGTTCCTTATAAAACTGTTTAAAGAAGGGAATGGATTGAATTCATGTTAAAAGGGAACATATTTGAATTAACACTGAGCTTTATTAAGATTTTAAATATGTTTTACTCACCTTTATTGAACTGTGTTGTGTCACCTCCTGTGGGTTTTCCGGTGATGAGTAGCTGACGTTGAGCTTGAGGCCACAGTGGGTTCAATGTCTCCTACACAATTACTGTTTTTATAGTGGTGTCTTACTTCCATGAGAAATCTAACTGCCGCTATGTCAAAACAAATGGCCATCAGGAAGACTAGCCCATCTATTTTAGCGAGGTCATGATGTCAACACACGTCAAGAAACCAAATTTCCTGGCTCTTTCCTGTATCACACCTCGACTTCCCCTCACCTGATGAAGGACTTGGTGTGTTGCGCCTGTTACAAAACTCACAGAAAACACCCAACAACAGATCTGACACCTGATTCCACTCACACAGCGCTGCAAGTCAAAGACACTGAAAGATAAGTAAAATGAGTGCATCATCTGAATCTATAGGGTTTTAGGTTTGTCATTCTGATATTTACCTACAAAAAATACTATATACAACAGGTAGCTGGAAAAGATTCTGATACAAATATCTATCACCAAAATCACATGCTACTGTTAAAAAAAACAGACAAAAAGCTCACAGACTAACCTCCCTCCTTGTCCCTCAAGCTGCCCTTTCCACCCATCAAAGCCCAGACTCCTCAAACTCTCCCTCCACTTCCTGAGAACCCTGCTCTTCTCCTCTCTTCACCTCCTCCTCTCCTGCGATCAACCATCCTCCTCCAAATCTGGCCAGTGAATTGTGCCCACAACAGGCCTTGCAGATCAGCCTTTTCTATCCCGCCAGGAGCACCCCCCTCCAAAGCGGCCTCCCACCTGTTGATGTCCTTTAGAAGCCCCGGGCCTCTCCTGTGCCTCCTGTCCGGCCCAATCAGGGCCCTGACAGGGGGGAGCCAGCCTGTGAAATCACACCTCTCAGCTGTTCACACTGGGCTTGAGACACCCTACACCCCTGCCGGTCCTGTGCTCAGCCCCCCCACCCCACCCTGCCTCTATTTTACACCGAATGTCAACGGGTTCTTTTTGGATAAAAAAGAAATTTAGACAGAAAGTGAGGGATGCAGAGAAACAAGGAAGCAACTGTGTGATGGGTGTGTTTTATTGAGTTTCGGGGGTACAATCAGAACAGCAGTTACAGCAGACTGAGTCACAGCTGAAGCCAAGGTTCAGGTTCATCCCAGTTTGGTTTCTGGGCTTCCCTTTAGTTTCATAGTATCACAGTAATAGGGAAAAGTGACGCTCACTGTCTCACTTCAAAAGCCATTTTCACATTGGACAAATCAGTCTGCTTCACAGTTGAACAAATGTTTGATACATTGAAACATAAACCTGAAGCAGAGCCAGTGATATATGAGGAGCATGAATACGTTATATGGGTGTTCTCATGGCTCCATAAAAACAAGCAATAAATTCTGCAGTGGGCAAGTGTAATTTAAGCTACTTTTGTGGGAAAGGAAAAATCAAGAGATAATGCAAAAAAAACAAAAAAAACAAAACTATCATCTGAAAGAGTCGGACACCAAATCACCACCACCACTATATTTTCATTAAACATGCTGTTAATGTATTTTATATGGAATCTGTAGGTCCATATATGACTGTTTTAAAGCACCTGTTGGACCATACAGTGATTATCAATAGTGTGAGGCAAACAGCCTGAGCACAGGGGTTCGTTTTCATCTGTAGCAAGCATAAGCCGCTCCACTAAGGTCAACACCTGTGTTCTAAAATCAGCACTGGGCTGGGTGCGATAGGAACCCGGGCCTCATTCACAGAAAGCTCGAGCTCAG